GGCACAGGATTTTTTTGTTTATACACAGTTTTGATTTAAAAAAAAAACCGACATGGTTAAAACATACAAATGTTTACACCATTACAAACACAATTCCATCTTGATATTCTTGTCATGGTTAGAACATACATTAAATATAACCGTTACAAACTCAATCACAATTTTATATTCTATTTTTTGAAATTTACCTGTGATAAAATAAACGTCACAAAAATGCTTTTTGTGGCGTTGTTACATTCATGTGACGCACAGTTTATAATTATATTGTGGTGTCCTGGTGTACTGTCGTAAATTCATAGGAGGTGTCTGTTGTTATTCTGTGGTTAACATGTTGTAATGTACTTTTATATTATTTATTTATGTATTTCTCTGTCCGGAGTGGTCTTACATTTACTTGTACTGTATTCATGTCACGTTATTTTAGGGGTATTTTTAACATTGCCATATAAGTGGGAGGTTTGGCTAACCATAAAACCAGTTTCAACCGACCATTTTTTCTTAAAATGTCCTGTACCAAGTTAGGAATACTGAAGTTGTTATCAAAAAGTCCGTTTCTTTGTATGTTGGCGTTTGTTTTTGTTGCAGTTCAGTGTTTCTGTTGTTCTGTTATTTTCCTCTTATAGTTGATGTGTTTCCCTCGGTTTTGGTTTGTAACCCGGATTTGTTTTCGCTTAAAAGAGGGACGAAAGATACCAGAGGGACAGTCAAACTCATAGATTGAAAACAAACTGACAACGCCATGGCCAATCGATTTATGACTATTGAACAGCGGTATACTACTGTTGCATTTATTTAAGATTACAAGACCGTTTCATACTTACTTTTGTTAACTAGTGTGTGAAGCAAAAAAAATTAAGTTGCATTAGCTCAACTCAAAGTATGCAGCTTCATGTGATCAGTTCGTGTAGCCTACCACTAGATGACTTCAACACATGTTTTATTAATTCAATTGAAATTATGATTTAACTAATTAACCGTATATTAACTATCTAACTCTGTTTTTATTTCGACTGTAGTTCCTAATGCAATGCCAATTTGATCGTAGGGGATTTGGCAGATGATGCTAAGTGATATTTCTGCTAAAACAAATCACAGATGATCTTTTCAAAATGCAAACCGTTTAATATTCGTAGTGTTTTTATGGTAATGAGTACTTCTTGCCGAACACATATCTTTCATCTTTCCTATTTGAAAGTGAGAAAATGTGGAATGATTCCCAACATTCATACAGCTTTCTCTCTAGCACACAAAAACATAACTGTTGATGAGAAGGAAATACGTCATAACCTGCTTTTTTAACTTTGTCATTTTACAACATAAAACCAACAAACTTGTTTGTTCATTTCAAGTTTTGAAAAGTTTGTCCTTTCTCTGAAACGTTGTATTGTTTCTTTCTGCAAAAGAAAGGCGGAAAATACCAAAGGGACATTCAAACTCATAAGTAGAAAATAAGCTGACAACGCCATGGCTAAAAAAATTTAAAAAAACAAACAGACAAACAACAGTACACAAAAAACAACATAGAAAACTATTGTCTGAGCGACACAAACCTCACCAAAAACTGGGGATGATCTCAGGTGCTCCAAAATAGATCCTTGCAGTTTGGCTGTTTTGATAACTGTTAATACTGTTTCGTTTTCATTGGTGATCTCTTTTATTCTATCAAACATGTTTGACCAAGTGTATCTGATGAAACTTATTCCAATTACCAATGTAAATATGTGATATGCACAAACAACATAGTATATGTTTATGGTCTATATGATGTTATTTTAATTAGCCATATTTTATAAGATTTAATACAAAGAACCGATGCAAAAAAGTTTGTTGTCGCTTTTATGACAGAATTTTTTTAAGTCTGTTATTAATTTTAAAAAACCCTTGAATATATCTGTAAAACAAATTTTCTGGACAATTTTTCTCTTCAATGTTTCTTCCAAAAAAATATATAAGTCCGAAACTGGATTTTTTATCAAGGCAATTTATGAAACCAGATGAACAGAAGTTATGTTTGTGTACATTTACCTTTCTTATTCAATACACAAATTGTAGTATAGTTTTGTTATGTTGTAACAAACTGTTTGCCTGACTTATTAAAACTTTGAACCAATAATTATATAACCGCATATGTCATACGTTTTAAGTTGCCTAAGTCACTTCAATCGTTTCCGCATAATACGTAGCTATCATCCCACCTAACTGTACGACTGCTACATACATACATTCAAACCATAGCTGGGTTAAATTGATCATATTTCGGAACAGTAAACAGTTCATTCTGCTTTTTCAATCATTTATCTGTAAACTGTTTTTACCGAATGTATATAGTATGCAATTCAAAGCCATAACGACATCTTTTGTTTTGTTTTGTGCAAATTCGCTGATCTTCTTGCTCATCAGGAAAAAAACAGTCAAATACTGAATTTTTATAAACTATGTAATAAAAAAGAAGGCTTTACAGTATAATGTGTAAAGATTTTAACATATTAACCAAACGGGTTGTTAAAATGTCTTCAAGCTATAGAGAAAGCCCAAATACCTGTCCATTCCTGGGAAATAAAGGAGCGGAGGACCATAGGGCCGACGCGCATTATTTCACAGGAATAGACAGCTATTTGGACTTTCGCTAACTTAAAATACACCTTAAATATTAAGAACGAATCTTTAGATTATAACATTTTAAAGAATTTTATTTCATTTTGTATTGATTTTCTTTTCATTTTCCCCGTGTTGTTCCCAATAATTCACAACCAAAATTTAAGATCAAGCTGACCATCTACTCAATTAACAAAGTATTTATGAACAGTAGAATAATTACTATAAAAAAATCTTGAATAAAGTTTGTTTAGATTTATGATTTAAGTCATTGGATACGCACTTCTTTCTTGTAGTGGGATTGAAAGGATATTTATCTGTGTCTTAAAGTGTATTTTGGGAGAGAGAGAGAGAAAACTAGTATTTATGCATGTATGTTAATGGATACTGTGTGTTTTTCGTTTGATGAATATTGGATGTAGAATTGTCTATAAAATTTGAAATGGTACAACTAGAATAAATTTTCAGGTATGTAACGCTCTAGTCTAGGTTATTTAACTATTAAGGGTGTACTTGATTATAAGTCATATCTGAAACATAATATGATTCTATATTTCAAACCATTCTATTAGATCAAATAAAATTAAACAAGAAAACAGAGTTTCGTGCATAACTCAACAATTTTTTTCCTTTGCTCATAACAACGAAAAAAATGTTATGCATATTTTAAACGAGTCATAAATAGCAATTCAAGCAAACTGAAAATATGTTTTCGTTCTTCCCTAAATTCCCTAATTTAAAAAAAAACACGCGTGATTAAAAACATTTCTGGATTCCGTTTTGTATGTCTTTAACTTAAGTGGAAAACGACTTTTTGATTTTATTTAAACATTTTAAGATTAACACCGTCATTTGCATTGCCGATATAACTGTTATATTTGCCACTGCACAAATAACAACAGTGAAGGAATTCGATAATGTTACTCGTTTTGTTGAATTGAATAAAAGCCTCGCCAAATATCTAACACAAGCCTTATTCAAATTTTATTCATAACCCCTCAAATTAGTTCTATATTTAAATTATAACAATGGACAATCAAATAATATAACACTGAGGTTGTGAGTTCGAACCCCGCTCGGGCGGATGCACTCGACTTCAATCTTAGTTGACTAGGATTGTCAGTTTTCGTCCACCAATAAAAACTGGCCGCCACGAAATAGCCCCAAAACGGTGCTTAAAAGTGGCGTTAAAACACAAAAAAAATCAAATAATATACCGGATACGCCATTTTGACCATTTCAGTTCTTCGAATTATTTATTCTACTAAACCACAATATTATTGTAGAAATATTCCGAGTCATTTTTAAATGGAACAAACGAAATTTTGCTGAACAAAATCAAAATACAACACTTTAAATTTTAAGGAAATGATATGTTAAACGTTAGTCTTGAAAGATAATCTTTACGTGAAATATATTTTTCTCTAATTTTTCTTATAGAATAATGGTAATGTGTTCAATATTACGACAGAATTCAACTGAGTTAACACATTTGAATTTCTGTAGATGCACAGAAGAGGATGGCACTCAACGGAAAATATTCGTTTTTACCCGCTAGGATACTATTCTTGACAGAAATTCAGCCAACATTTGCATCGGATTGTAGATAATGACGAGGAATTTTAGTGAATACGATACTATATATTATACGATGGAATTATAAATCGCAAATAAAAGATGTTTATTAATGATAATGAGATATTTGGTGTTCATTGTATTACTACGATCCTAATCTTTTTTAAATCCAGTAACAATCGTTTGAGTAAGTTTTCATCTTCATTCAATCTCGCGTTTCGGCCTTTAGAATTATTTCCGTGGGTGAACACTTTTTAAGGAAGTGTTCATGGAAATATCCAAAGGGCAAAACGTCCGGATGAATGAAGATGGACAATAGAAAATAACTCTCCATTCCTGTAAAAAAATGGAGAGTTTGAATAAAAGATTTACGTCACAGGTGTATTTTAATAAAAAAAAATATTGACATACTGAAGTAAAATCATACGTAATAAGAACATATATTTCTATATCTATCTTGAAGAAATTATAGTAAGTAGATAATATTGGGTAAATATCATTCTTATGGTTTGTTATACATTGTATATCGCTTCATATTGATGAACCTGTTTCATTTCAGAATGCGTTCTTCTTTTGCTACATCATTTATATCCGTATGGTTGATAATGTGTATATTCATAGTAATTGGAATCATAAGTATTGGACATTATCGTATCAATATTCAAAGTATAGTGAATAAGTTTCCTGCACGAATAATCCTTTCGAATACGGAAACAACTTATAAACATGAAATATCATATACCAGCGCAAATGCTGCAAATGATGAGAAAAAAGTTACAAAAATTTTCTCTTTGTTATGGTATACAAAACCATTTTGGATACCGGCATATATGTTCAATTACAAATTTCGAAACTGTGCATTCAAATTTTGCAAACTGTCAACTGATAAAGCCTATCTGAACAGTAGCGATGCTGTGTTATTTCATCATACAGAAATGAAAAGTGTTGACATACCGAACAAAGCAAAACATCAGACATGGATATTCATGTCTGATGAATCCAATGTCCACACGATGAAATACTTCATGCACGGATCATGGAAAAATGAATTTGATTGGACATACAGCTATAGATCAGATTCAGATATATATCTTCCATTCGGAGAATTCGCAAAAAGGAGCTTACCAGCAGTAAAAAATTATTCAAGTATCTATAGGAAGAAGAACAAAAATATTGCCTGGGTAGTATCCAACTGTAATGCCCCTTCTTCACGAAATAAATACGTAACAGAGCTGAAAAAATACATCGATGTTGACGTATATGGAAAGTGTGGCAAACCATGTTCTGCCTGGATGGACGACTCCTGTTTCAAAAAAATAAGTGGTGATTATAAATTTTATCTTGCGTTTGAAAATTCTCTTTGTGAAGACTACGTTACGGAAAAGGCATTTCGTTTGTATCAAGAGGACTTCGACATAATTCCAGTTTACCGAGGGGCACCAAATGTGAAAGATATTTTGCCTATGGGGACTTTTATTTCAACGCTAGATTTCAAATCACCAAAGGAGCTCGCTGTATATTTGAAATATGTTGCTAACAATGAAAGTGTTTATTGTAATTATTTAAAAGCGAAAGATAAGTTCTGGGCAAGTCCGTATACACTACATGAGATCGTTGAATTTATATATTGTTCTGTGTGTGAAAAACTTTCCACAGATTACACAAGAGACGCTAAACTTAACTTAACAAGCTGGATAAAGGACAAAGGATGTCATAAGGCATCAGATATTTGATATTACAAAATATTCAAACATCACTAATTATGTATTATATGTTTGTTCCGATGTAATACTTCTTAAAATAAATAAAGACCATCTTATAACAGATCTTAATATAGACCATACACATTTCAAATATTACTTTTATTCGAGGTAAATTTGAAGACAAAAATTATGACACGCCAGTATTAGGTCTTTCCACTTTTCCGTGGAAAGGACTTTGAATATGCCCTGATTAGTAGGTCTTTCCGCCAATTTTGTTTTCTTGTGCATTTTGTGTTTGTTTCGCAAAATGATGAAACAGTCAATACGCGTCTGAAACTGACATCTCTAAACCGTACTGTTGTCTTTGCAAAAGTTATCTCTCCGAACATTTGCTTTCTGGTGATAACTACTACTTCGCATTCATAAAAGAAACCAACAAATACCTTTTGTGTCCAGATTACGCGTTACATTCTCAGCATGTTGAAAATAATTAAGGACTCCATATGAGAATTATTTCCCCTTGTGTATTTGATATAAGTTATATGCATTTGTAACCGGTAAACCGTAATTGATAGAGATTAGGGTTGTTTGATTTGAGGTCCTAGGGTCACTAAAAAGTAAAAAGAGGTAAAGGTCAGAGGTCAAAGCCATGTTCTTAATTTTGATATTGGCTTTTTATTTCTTTTCTCCAGAAACGTATACGATACCGACAAAATATTTCTCTAAACTGTAGTAACACAAATATTTAAAAAGGGTGCGTTGACATTGAAAAAGAGTTTCCTTCCTTGTAATATTTAAAATAAGCTGTATTGGGATATAATTCATTCACCATATATAGAAGGAACTTACGGTCGTTCGATTTGAGGTCCTTGCTTGATGACCTTTAACTTTAAGGTCGAAGTCAAAGGTAAAATTAGAACCGTCATTTTTTTAAACGATGTTACTCGAAGCTGCAATTTATCTCCCTAATTCTAAGTAAAAGTAAAGAGTAACCATACATTTTTGGAATCAGCGTAAAGTAAGCTATTTTTTCACACTAGAAGTGACTTTGATTTTACCTGTAAGTGAATTATTATCTTCCTTAATTGATAAATAAAGTAACATAAACAATTGGTTTTTTTTCGGAAGCATTGTGAGATCAGCATCTGACAGGCTATTTTTAATACAAATTTTCTTTTCTTTAGTGATTTTGTGTTGACATAATTCATGAATATTTTTTGAGCAATTGGCTTTTGATTACTGCTATTATTTTTCGGGACTTTTATTTCTTTCCGGGCTTTTTTTTTCGCAAGATGTCGCGAAGATATTTGGTATATGATATTGAACAATTAAGACGCTTTCCAAACTATGACCGTTTATCCGAACACTTTTCTTTGCAGGAGGTATATCCCTATACATGATGTTCCTTCTGCGCATTACTCTTTCACAACTGTAAACGATTACGACAAAATTATTTTCCAAAATAGCTGATTTCATCCTCAGAATGTCCAAGATAATTTTGAACTAAGAGATCTGGAGATTCAATAAGAGAGTTATTTCCCTTTATGTATTCGAAATAATTGAAATGTAATAATAACTCCTCAAAAAGAGTTAGATATCGACATAAAAATCTAAACAAAATGTTGGTCGCGACATGTCTTAACTTGGAATATTTTGTCAAAATGGTACGCATTACTTTATTGGCGGGTCAATGCACCTGAAATGGTCAAATCAACAAATTAACTAATTATAACTTCAAAGTGTGCAGCAATCACGATGTACATGTATCTTATCTCAATTAATCAACTAAGGTCCTCCCACCACAGCCCCCCCCCCCCCCTTTTCCTGATTTGTGTTTTTTTTTCAATAAGGTATCATTATTCTTTTGAAATAAAAATCGCTTTCTGTCCCGTAAATTCTGCTGTCAAATCAGAATTCGACTTAAATTAAAACTTCTGAAATAAAAATCCCTCCTTGCAAAAATCTACTTCAATTCATGTATTTTCTGAAAATAATTGATAAACGTATTGTTAAATTACTACAACAGCATTTGTTTGTGTGGTCAGCGATTACATATCAGTTAATCTGTAAATGAATCAAAATATTTCCCCGTCAGCCCTAAAAATACACATCAGCTTGACCTCCTGATCTTGACTGCAAAACTAAACTCAATGACATAGAAATCGCTTCCAAGTTCGTAAAAATTAGTGAAATCCTACAATCAAATTTCTAAACATGCATTAAAATACCAATGTGTTCTCTCGTAACATCTGTTGTAATATGCACTGTCGAACAGGTAATACGCCTACGAAACTGATACCGTTTAGCCTGACAGTTTTCATTGAAAAGTTATTTGCCCAAAGGCCATTTTTCTTGTGTTTACTACTGCTTCGAAACCGTAGATGATTATGCAAAAATTCTTTTCCAAAATTACTTGTTTTATCCTCAGAAAAAAGAGAATAAGTTTGACCAAAGCAGTCCGGAGACTCCATATAAAAGGTATTCTCCTTTTGTATTTGATATAAGTGATATAAATATTGCTACTGGTAAACCATAAGTTAAAGAGAACTCGTTTATCTCCAAATATTGATTACAAATTATATATCCGTTTGCCAACAGCTTATTTTCAATTACAATAATTTCAAATTCACTTTTGCTGTCATATGTTGTTTATTGATTTTTAAATTATCTTTTAAACAATTTATGTAGTTACAAACTCATTTCTCATTGTTGAAGGTCGTACGGTTGCCTATAATTGCTTACATCCACTTTATTTGAACTTTGGTGGATAGTTGTCTCATTGGCAATCGTACCACATCTCCTTATTTGTATATAAATTACGTCGTCATTATAAAGTATTTGCACGTGGAAATAAGGTCAATTTTTAATGTCATTACATGCAGAGATGAGGAATCGAGAATCTTGAAAGTCATTGACAAGAAATCAGGACAGCATGCACCTACATAAATTAAATCAAATATCCATTATTATAATTAAATAAACAAACATTTGTATATCAAACTACACATACATGTTTAAAGTTTACAACTATATTGATATATCACTATGTTTCAGGTGTATTGAGTTATATTGATATTGTAATATGTTTTGGAAATATTGACCTCTGGTTAATCTGGCTTTAAAACTGTTTATTTGTGAACAGAGAAAATTTTTAACGCAAGTCTAATTTGACAAATGGCTAGTTTTATTATCTGCAGTTAAAGTTGAACTGTCAGATGTAATTTGAAAAAGAAACGATGTCTTAGGGTGTAGGGTAATAAAATTTAGTTATGCCTATTTGTTTTGTCTAGAGTGAAAGAAATTAAACTTTCTTATTAAGGTCAGTTTGGTCAAGATACTGGCAGATTGTGTATCAGCTCTGATACTGTAAGGATGTGACTTTTCCTTGAAGTCTTGAATCATTAAAGATTCTGGAGGACTTGTTTTTAAAGTTTATATGTTTAAATTTTGCAGCTTACTTTGTCAATCAATCTGAAGTTTTGTACATTTGTGAATAAACTTGTAAATATATATCGTATTATTTAGTTAATGGAATTTACCACATGATTCATTGCCGTGCTATACTATGGTTATGTCCGTCCGTCTGTGTCGTTGTCGTTCCTTCCCTCGGTCACGTTACAATATGCACTAACTTTTCAGTATCTGTTATGTAAATATCCGCACAATATGTATAATGTACGCTAGAATGATGACTTTTTCTATGTCGGATTTAACTCATGTAAATGTCTATTGATTGTATTTATATTTGTCTATACAAACTTGGTATGTCCGAATCATTTCTTTTTTGACACAGTTGAGTTAAAATACCAATTCATATCGTTGATCCTAAAAATGACCCATGCTTTGTGAACCAATTATAATAAAGTGTGTATTTAAGACACATTAATTTTAATTGTTGTAAACAACTAAATATGCCTTAGAATTTATCATCCTTTATATAAATTATTCATTGTTTTAAACACTAAAAATGACAAATAAAAGCCATTTAGCTGTGTTGTAAATAACAATGGATTACAGCAATCTGAAAAAGTAGCAGAATGATTGAATGGTCTAACCAACACAAAATTGATATAGTTTCTTTTCAAGAAACTAATTTTCTGATGCCGTAATGAAAATTTGTTGGTATCGTTTCTGGTCTTCAGCTGAATCGAACCGATAACATAGTCAAATGTCTTTAACTTTCCAAAATATAGCCTCAAATATGATTATAACAAATGAAATTAGGTTTAGAAATTTAGTATAAAAGTTTATATGGAATAGCAAAAAAGACATAGTTTTAACATTGCATTACCTTGAAGGAGATCTATACAAATAACGGATTTAACTTGTGACTTTAAATGTTTGAAAATTTGACAACTTTTAAAAACTGAAAATGATAATTGGAAACGTATCCAAAAATTTTATTTTGATAAATTTAGGAGGTACCTTCTTTAATTTACGCTGGACAAAATAATGTCAAATCTGTACAAGAAAGGCGAAAGATACCAGTGGGACATTCAAACTCATAAGTCGAAAATAAACTGACAAAGCCATGGCTAAAAAAGAGAAAAGACCAACAGACAAACAAAAGTACACAAAACATAACATAGAAAACTAAAGACTGAGCAACACGAACCACACAAAAAACTGTTGGTGATCTCAGGTGCTCCGGAAGGGACGATCTTGCTCAACATGTGGCACTCGTCGTGTTGTTTATGTAAGTACAAACCCAGTAATAAGTCTTGTTTGGTAGGTCAAAATTCGGAAAAAGGGTAAGGGATTGTAGTTACGATATAAGGAACATATCCGCTATCATCTGTGAAACGGTCAACCAACTCGTGATGGCGTCGTAAAACTTACGAAGGGATGATTTAAACTTCACCACTTGGAACTCTTGGTTTAATAACAGCAACCCTCTATCAAGGAAATCCTGATAGGAAATACAAGCCCTAGGATATCATATCAACAGGGAGATATATACTCCGTATGCAGCCGCTACTGGAATGTTGCTACATAGAAATCAAAGTTGGAAAGCTTAAATCATCTTTTTT